TGATCTGAGAGCTGAAGCCAACATTTCACAGCATGTCTCTGTGAGTCTACAGCTGTTCAGGCTGGAAAACGAAACATCTTAAGATAAAAATACATACACCACACACAGATATATCAAATAAAATATCAAAATAAACATTTTTATTTTAAAATGCAATAAGTGATGCAGCATATACTTCAAAAGGAACTAGACAATCCTCTGATGTTCCTCATGTTTCCCGGTATGAAGAATACAATGAATATTTTCAGTTCAAAGCACAAATACCATGAAAAATTTAGTCAATCAGGACTGGATCAATGTACGTAGATGAGCAGATTTAGGTACAATACATCTTCTCCTTTGAGTTTACTGTGTATTTTCGCAATTTGCTGTACATTTTCATAAGTCATACATTCCCAAATACTGTTGTGTATTTTCTTACAGAGCCAGTTTGAATAAGGTCATGAGAGTGAACATGCTCTAAAATCCATTCATTAACTGGGAAATTTAAATATATATTATTTTGTTGTCTCCCTGTCCTAGTCAGAAACACAAATAGTTTTTGCTTGAGACTCTGAGCTGAGACCAAACTGCTGTTTAATGACCTTACAGGATGAATTACCCTGAGAATGTAATATATGCATAAGTATTTTTTATAAAGCTCTGAGCAGCGCTGGGGCTCAGTGATCAGCACTACAGCCGATCGGGGTTCTAGGGTTTTGGATTAAGACCCTGCCTCGGGTTCAGATCCTCCTTAGTCATCCCCCTGGTAAAATAGTGTTGTCATCTCTCTGATCTTGCTCTTTATGACACATACATACAGGTAAGAATACATTGTAAGGTCAGAGCACAGGGTTGGCCAGCATCCAGCACCCCTGAAGCTGGGGGGTAAGGGCCTTGCTCAAGGGCCCAAAACCAGCATCACTCTGCCAGCCAGGTATTTAAACCAGGTGACCTGCTGACCGCAGGCAGAGAGTCCAAACCTACTGAACCACACACCACACCAAGAATGTAAAAAAATATACATATCCTGCAGTATCCAGAATCAAAAAGAATTCCTGAGTGGTCTATATAAATACAATCTAATTGTTTTGATAAGATATAAAAGCAGTATCATGAATAACATCTGTACTTCTTTAGTAACAGACGTATGTAAGATCACTTACAGAGCTGTCCTAGATTTCTTGATCACAGGCAGCAGCCTCTGAAGACCTTCATCTGATCTGATGTATTTCTTCAGATCAAACACATCCAGCTCCTTATCTGACATCAGTAACACAAAGGCCAGAGCTGACCACTGTGCAGGTGAGAGGTCTGCTGCTGAAAGACTTCCTGAACTCAGGTATCTTTGTACTTCCTCTGTTAGAGAATTGTCACCCAGTTCATTCAGACAGTGGAACAGGTTGATGGTCCTTTCTGCAGATAAATTCTCCTGTATTTTTTTCTTGATATACTGGGCTGTTTGCTTAATGTTATGTGAGCTGAATCTTGTCTGTGCCGGTAGCCTTTGTAACAGAATCTCACTGGAGTCTGTTGAGAGGCCAAGGAGGAAGCGGAGGTAGAGGTCCAAGTGTCCATTCTTGCTCCTTAATGCTTCATCCACTGCAGTCTTCAGCAGGTCAGCTGATGAGTTTGACAGAAACACATATAAAGCAGCGAGATACTCCTGGATGCTCAGATGCACAAAGCAGTACACCTTCTCCTGGTACAACCCATACTCCTCTTTAAAGACTTCTGTGCACACTCCAGAGTAAACTGAAGCCTCTGTGACATCAATGCCATTCTCTGCCAGATCTTGCTCATAAAATATGAGATTACCTTTCTCAAGGTTATGAAAAGCCAATTTACCAAGTTTTAAAAGTAATTCCTTGCTAGATTTAGAGCAATTATTAAGCTTGGTTCCACCATTTTCCATATACTTCTCATTTTTTAAACTCGCCTGAAAGATCAGAAAGTGTGTGTACATTTCAGTCAGAGTCCTTGGAATTTCTCCACTGTCAATCTCACTAAAAATCCTTTCAAAAACAGTGGCTGAAATCCAGCAGAATACAGGTATGTGGCACATGATGAAGAGGCTCCTTGATGATTTCACATGTGTGATAATCCTGCTAGCCAAGCTCTGATCAATAAATCTCTTTCTGAAATATTCCTCCTTCTGAGCATCATTGAAACCTCGTATCTCTGTCACCCGGTGGACACATTCAGGAGATATCTGATTGGCTGCTGCTGGCCGGGAGGTTATCCAGAGGAGAGCGGATGGAAGCAGATTCCCCTTAATGAGGTTAGTCAACAGCACATCCAGTGACGTTTTCTTTGTTAAATCAAACCAGCTTTCATTGTTCTGAAAATCTAGAGGAAGGCGACATTCATCCAGACCATCAAAGATCAACAAAACTTTGTACCTAAACAGCTCAGTGGATTCAAGCGATTTCAGTTCTGGGAGAAAGTGGTGAAGCAGATCAATCAGACTGTATTCATCCTTAATCAAATTCAGATCCCGGAAAGGAAGAGCAAATATGAAGTGAATGTCCTGGTTTGCTTTTCCTTCTGCCCAGTCAAGAATAAATTTATGCACAGAGACTGTTTTCCCGATACCTGCCACCCCTTTAGTGAGTACAGTTCTGATAGGTGTCACACGCCCATTTAAGGGTTTAAATATATCATGGCACTTGACTGCAGTATCTTCTGTTGCCCTTTTCTTGGATGCTGTTTCAATCTATCTCACTTCATGTTCATCATTGACTGCTCCAGCTCCCCCTTCAGTTATGTAGAGTTCTGTGTAAATCTCTTTGAGAAGTGTTGGCTGTCCTTCCTTAGCTTTCCCTTCAAATACACACTCAAATATCTGCTTCAGGTTACATTTGATTTTGCGCTGACGCTGCAACAGAAGATGCCCTGAAATAAAATGAAAATAAAATGCACAAGGTTTTTGAAAAACGTGTTTTTATTCATAAGCCAAATCAAATTAAATTAAATGGTAAACTGAAATGTAAGACGCATTTTTTCATAAATTATATTTCTGTGGCAAATCAAACACACACTGAATGAGCTCTTACTCTTCTCCAGCATGTCAGCGAGATCATTTTGCTCCATGGTCCTCAGGATGTACAGTGTGATCTTCAGAGCTCCCTCTCTACCACAGGTCTTCTGCATCTGACCATCACTGTCCAGGTCACTGTCCTCCTCAAGCTGAGGCTCAGAGCATTCTGGGTCATTCTGATCCAGGTACCTTTTCAATTTCATCAGCTCATCTTTCAGAAACGCTTGAGCCTTTTTCTCCAGTAACTGAAATAAACAGTTCCAATTTAATCATTATCACTCCTGGCAGCATATCTTTTTATAATTTAATTTGTGAATTATGCTGCATTGCATTTGAATTCATAACTTAGTGTCAGATAAGGAGCTGGATGGGTTTGATCTGAAGAAATTTATTAGATCAGATGAAGGTCTTCAGCAGCTGCTAGTTGGAAATTTCAACTGGAATGCTCCCTGAAGTCAGAAGAGTCCAAGGAATCTAGACAACCCTGACCTCAGAATTCAATATGGCTGCACCCTTTATCAACAGAAGTTAAAGCTGTAGTTTTATAGTGTTTATTAGCAGTTACTTCTTATTTGTGACTCATAAAATCAGTTGTACTCACAGTACTGTCCAACTACTGTCTAATCTGTAGATGTGTTGCTAGGGTGTTTTTATGCGCAAAATACCACATATTGTGTTGTTATCAACTCCTATTGCTAACAATAACTAATAATTAGCCTGGCTAGGGACCTGTTTCAAAAAGCAAGATTCCTTGCATAGCAAGGTAACTTGTCAGATGTAAGGTAGTCAGGCTAAATGTAAGTGAACAAATATAAAGGCCTTTTATATTGGGGCACATTACATCTGACAAGTTATCTGGCTAAGCAAAGAAATCTTGCTTTTTGAAACAGGTCCCTGGTTTGCTAAATGGCTTTCTGACTTGCTGTACTGGAACGAGGTTAACTCAGGTGTGACGTCATTCCCAGCTCCGACTTCCGACCTCCGAGGTAAATGGAACGCAGCGTTAGTTGTAAATATCATCTCTTACAGGATGAACTACTTATTATTAGTGCTGTCAAATGATTAAAATTTTTAATCAGATTAATCACAGGGTTCCTGTGGATTAATTTTGATTAATCATGATTAAATATCATTCATTTTTAATCTATATTAATCACATTAATTTTGCATGAGCAAACAGACTCAAGAAAAAAGGGAATATATATGCACTTAACATGTTTA